GGGAGATGGGATTGGAGGTGGGATGGGAGATGGGATTGGAGGTGGGATGGGAGATGGGATTGGAGGTGGGATGGGAGATGGGATTGGAGGTGGGACGGGGAACGATTTGGCTTTTTGTAGTCGTGGCTCACAGTGATTGGAACAAGTGGTTCCTTGGCATTACATCACCCATGAGTATGCAATGATTGGAGCCTGTGTTCTACTCCATTGGACTTTGTCGCTCGAATCAAGCCGCCCGTAAGTCTGCCTGCCTGCAACCTCCATGGTTGACTTTCCACTCTTACAACAATCGAGGCCTTTATATCTGAGAGCACTTCCTCTTTCGCATTAGAAATGAACCATCTACTATCGACTAAGATTATACAGAGTTTCAAAATCTCAACTAGATCAAAAGTCAGTTCTCAATCTCTCATCGCAAAGTGTGAACATTGATGTGTTTACAGATACGGCAATGTGCACCCAGTATATGACCCAAACTAAAATGCGATGCGGGCATAAAATTGAGAGTCAGGGCATCAAGGCACCATGTCCACAGCACTGCGGCAATTACAAAACAAGCTGGAACTTTGGGACAACAACCAAGAAACACCCATGTGATGACTGCCAGGCCAATGGCTCCTGGGTCAAGGATGCAAATGGCAAATGGAATAAAGCTTGAAGATCTGTTTTTGGGCAATCTCCCAAATGAACGGAGTAGTGAGCCTTGGATTGGGCTGCGTCATCCTAATGCTCAGCATCGGAGATTGTTGCCGACCGTTATAGTGGGTTTATATAGTAGCTAGCCCCAACCCTTCACATGTGAACTAGTTAAATGAACTCTCATTACGCCGCTATAACAATACCCTTGTACTCCGTACAGCGTTGGCACTATATGCGCTAGTACTGACACTCACCTTTCCTCTTCCGTTGCAGCCCTCAGGAGAAACAAACCGTTGCGAGACTACTCCATAGCACCTATCCATCTCCCAAACTCCTTTCCAGAAAATGGATATCATTCACTTGCAAGAAAGATACAAACTTCTAGGATGGGGTGACCTTGGCCACATTTTCGAGCTATCTGACAACATTGCTCTGAAGTACGCAACATCCAATGACGATCCGCGTTTCGAGGACGAGAACCGAATTTTTGACTTGCTTGAACGCCATCCTCCCTGCCCTCATATCGTCCACAGCTTTCTCCGTTTCCCAAATCTAAATTTCATGCAGCGGCTCTCGGGGAATCTTGAGATGCGACTTCGAAGCCGACAAAGAAGAAATTCAGCCACCGACCATGTCGTGGAATGTGTTCCTCATCCCGAGCATTTAATTTTAAGATGGGCAAAAGAGTTGACAACGGCTGCAGCTTGGCTCGAATCTCTTGGACTAGCACATGGTGATATTCGACCCTCGAACCTCCTTCTTGATGCCGAAGACCACCTCAAGCTGGCTGACTTTGATAACACACATGCTATTGGGACTGAGGTTGACGTGGGGAGTGCACCATATTCTAGAGCACTAGGGGATGAAGCTGGTGGCCTCCGAGGCTCTTTTGGTCTTCTAGGTCCACGCACTGAACAATTTGCCATCGGTTCAGTTTTTTACTATATGGTCAGGGGGTATGAACCATACGATAATCACTACTACGGGGAGGATCACGGTCCTATCACAGTCAATAAGCTGCAGAGAATGGAATTCCCTGATTTGGACTTAAACGACATAAAGGACCGTATCATTCACGACTGCTGGTATGGGAAATTTGATTGTATCAAGAATCTCGCAAGGACTGTTGGTTCGCTCGGAAGCCAACATCAAGTTCTGGGAGAGGCATTGAGCCCTCATTTGATTAAAATCAGAAGAGAGGAATGTGAGCAGTATATGACGACTTTAGTTCCTGCGCCTCTGCCGCTCGCACACCACGGTTCGGGAATACTTGTCGACAGCGGCGCGGTTTTGGATTGAGGCAGAATTCTTCTAGTCGAGACATCGGCTGACTCCTTAATCCAGGTAGACTCCCTCGGAACATCATTTGAACGGAATTCGAATGGCCTGATGAAGACTTCCAGAAACAGTTCAGCCGGCCATCCTGCTCCTTTCTATGTTTCCGATAGCTTGTTCTCGAATTTTAACAGGGATAGGGTCAAGAGGTTGAGAGGGTTATGTTTTCGGAGTCCAACAGGGCCGCACGCGTCACAGAGGACGACAGAGTTTGCGTACTTTTCACAAGTTGTCTCCCCTTATTTTGATGGCCCGCGTCGGAATGCGGTATTTCCTTGACGTTGAAGCTGCAGACCCCTCTGCAGGTACGTAGCCCGCGCCCTGCATACTCGCCTGGGGAAACTCACGTACAAGAATTGTGACATATTTGGAAGGGGTATAGCTCTGGGGTTACACAAGACAAGTGTCCGCTCGACGGTGTAAGAAGTTCTTGCGTTGGGCAGAAAATATGTACAGTATTGTGTCTTTTTGGCTATAGCCGCATTTCCCCCATCGCGTCCTCGATTCAATACATATCATAAAATACACTGTAATTGAGAGATGCAACAGAAATTCGCAACAGAAACGCCTTCTTTTTTAAGTGCGGCGGCGCTGCCAAGAATAGTGGCGATTTAAATAACTAAGGTGACTCGGGATAGTTGCCTTCCCCATCAGCAGCGTAGAAATCGCGGATGTCCTCGTTACTGCGTTGCGAATACAGTACTTCCTGTTACAGTAGCCAATGCTTCTGATTCAAACGTTTAATCTGGTCAGCGCACACGTTTATGGCGTGACTTTCGAATTCTTAGGCATGGCGTGGTGCATATATGGTGATGGATCATTTCAGACCGCAGGTCATCCAAGACAATCCTATCGGGGCCGGCCTCGACACCTTTCGCGATTCATTCAACGCAACCTGTCAAAGACTCGGAATTTCGCCCTCCACTGAGATCCTTAGTGAGCTAGAGGAAAGAGGTAACAAAAACCTCCTTCTCTGGTAACGCTACTGACCAGCTCAGATATAAAATACCTCGCGCTTGATTTAGTTTCCGCCCTACAAAATCTTCCTGGCCGAGGGTCCTTTTCCGGCGATCTTTCCAGATTCTACGCACAGATCGATTCTGAACAATTTGACGCCAATTCTGTCATCCCTCTCCTGCGAGATGTCATTAACGAAGCCCCGGACGAAATCCTACTTGCGAAGGCCTACGCCACTCTCACTGAGTCTACCCCACCACCTCGTCCGCAGGCGCATGTACTTCAAACTCCTTATACGCACAGCACAAGCAGCATTGTCAATTCATCCGAGCAAAGACAATATATGGATGACTTGCTAAAAGACGAGATGGGGCCTCTATATATTGGCATACCCGGTTTCTACGAAACGTTTTATGGGAAGATCCCCGGCTTGGAAGAGAATGCTGCAGCTGTGTTTAACAAATGTCAGGAGGGCGATGTTCCCTTGTATCGAGAGGACGCAGGCTGGACAGATTGGCCAAAAGACGCTCAAGAGAAGGTTGTGCTGAAATGGTTTGCTCAGCGAGTTTACCTGTTCCAGAACTTCGCCAAAAACCTCGTTTCAGCTCCAAAGTCAACACGAGGTCCCTTAATACGACCAAATAAAGCCCTGGAAGGCTCGAGAGCTGGTAGGAAGCCAGACGTTGGCTTTGTGGATGACCTCAATGCCGACGAAGACGCTGTATACCATTGGTCGCAGGTTCTTGTGCCCGGAGAGCTAAAAAGTAATCCGACATTTGATATGGCCACCAAGACATGGCTCGACCTAGCGAGATATGTTCGAGAGGTGCTGACCGCTCAGGATAGCCGCCGCTTCGTACTAGGATTCACTCTCTGCGGCTCAATCATGAGGTTATGAGAGTTTGATCGTGTTAGCGGCATTGCTTCGGAGCCATTTAATGTCAATAAAGACGGCGCACGGTTTGTCTCAGTGGTCTTGGGGCTTCTCTGGATGGATAAAGAGCAGCTCGGATTTGATCCCACTATTGTGGAATCGAATGGTGTTAGGTACATGAAGATTACCCGCGATGACCAAAATGAACGACTTGTACTGGACACCTTAATGAGGCGTGGGACCTCTGTGGTGGGCCGAGCAACAACTTGCTGGAAAGCTTATCGAGAAGGCGATGAGTCTAAGGCTCCTCTCGTCATCAAAGATTCGTGGCAATACCCCGAGCGCGACCAAGAAGGGGAATTACTGCGAGAGGCAACAGAGAAAGAAGTGGAGAATGTGGCCAGGTACTATCACTATGAAACAGTTCAGGGTGGGAGGCATCGACGACGATGTCCAGACCAATATTCGCAAGGTGCTGGATATCTCCAAAGCTGCGAACTTTCTCAGCCAGAGTCGGAAAACCGAGAGCTCGATATTACCGCCGAGCACCCCAGTCTCGCTTGAGAGCACGGGAAGAGGCCGAAGTTTCAAAGTTCCAAGCAGCATCGGGCGCAAGAGATCATCCAGTTCTATTAATGCCCCAATTCCTCCGGGGAAGCGAACATGTTCCACCTCCCCGACCAAAAAGACAATCAGTCTCACCCTCTTGAACCGTGTCCACCGAAGAGTTATTGTGTCTGACTACGGAAAACCTATTTACCAGGCAAGTTCTTGCGCCATAATGCTGGCCGCGTTAGAAGGTTGGGTAAAAGGTAAGCGATATCACAGTAGATTGCATTCAGTGGCTAGTTGCAGATGAGGAAGATTTCCTGGAAACATTAACACAGTACCTCACACCGTACTACAGCCCGCTTTGGCCATGGATAAATAGGCTCCGGAGGGTGGTGTTTCCAAATGGGAGGCGGAGAAAAGAGGAAGACAAAGGCCTTGCCTCAAAAATGATGTCGATACTGGCTGAAGCACAGAGGGACCCAGACGTCATTACGCACCCCAATGCTTTAGATGCCGCAGGCCTCATCTCCTAAACGACCGCTGAGACGCTCGATCTTTGCACCACCCCCACTTCGTCAAGTCGAATCACCGTTTCAGCTCCAATGTCGATGGCCTGTCAGTGTGCAGATGATCCTTGAGAATTTCTATTATGACTCTATGCGAGGAGATGGATAATACAGAATACACGGCGCGGTAAGAATGAGCTATCGTCTAACGCTCTTAGTTGTTGGCGGTGTTAGCTGGATTTGTCTGAGGGATGCTTGGACCTCGCTGGAATATTCTTGATGCAAGAAGGGTCGCAAGAGGCCGCCGAAAGCCCAAGGCACGGTACCAATGCGGCCAACGCAGATACCCTGACGCCGAATTGTTTACTGCTCTCTAGATGGTCCCAATCGCGGCGGAACAAGTTTTGGGGTATTTCGCTTCTTTCAAAAGCAGCGACGCTCGTCAAGCCAACCACCTGGACAATATCCGGATCAATAAGAGCGTTTACGTGAAGCTCCTGTCTACGAATTGTAACCTTCCTGCAGAGCTCTGTCAAATAAGGTCCGCTTGCCAGCGACGGAAGGCAGCCTGAAGCAACTATGGACAAGCAAGTGGCATCATGGCCCCCTACTCATCAACCTGATTCGCCCTGCCGCTCTGCCATCCTGTTTGACCTTGTCGTTAACGAAAGCGAGGACAGAGGCTGTGCACTTGGCAAAATCCCTCGCCGATGGGTATAAGTACGGTCGCTGACTCTCAATGTGCCCTTCCACGTCTTGTCTTCTTTTTCACCCCCTGGATCTCACTCCTTGAAAGATACTAAGCGCTCTGCAATCGATTCTCTCAACTATGCCTCAAACCCGACTTCAAGAAGTTCGAGGCGCACGACTTCTTCGCTCCGGCAAGACAATTCGACCTCTCGTTCCACGATCCAACTCCGACCGAATCACGTCACCTCTCCTGTTGTCGACTTCGAAGCGTTTGTCCAAAAGGGGAAGACATGAACCGTCTCAACTGTTGGCGGACGCTTTTGAAGAAATCATGGCAGAATGTGACACCACAGAGTCGCCTCAACATGCAGACAACTTAGACAGCCCAAATGGCTCTGTCGTCTCAGACAGCTCTTTTACCTCGGACAGCTCAGCAGCAGATTCTAGCATCGTCGCCACCGTCCATAATGTGGCAGATCCTGATACCAGAGCGCGGAGCCCAGGGGACTTGCCTTCTCTCGACTCTGAGGCCGTGGGACTTCCCTTCGATGGACTCTGGGACCATGACTCAGCCTACGACCGGAGACACTGTTACAACCATGGAGAGTACGAGTATCTATTGGATACCAAGGATCGGTGGATGCGCCCAAAGGATTTTATCCCGGCTAACGCCGTGACTAGGTCACAGGCTAAGGAGCTTGACGCCGAGATCAAGTTGGAGAACCTCCACAGTATGACTCTGTTCGATCTTCAAGATAGGATGTCGGCCTTCGACCCGCGTGCACGGAAGTGTCAAGCAGAGTGCGGAGGCGCCCTTCTCTCTCATGTGTATGCTGTCATCGGGAAAAAGGAACAGGCTGGTGTAACGCTCTATCAGATCAAATGGAAAACTTGCTGGACCCCGAAAAGCAAAATCAGTGATGAAGCTTGGCTTCTGGGATCCCTACAAGCAAACAAAGACCCGCGTCGCCGGCGTAGCCTGCGACAGAGAAACGACTTGAAAGAGCAGGAATACCACCAGAATGTGATGCGGGTTAAGAAGCTACACAAAGCCTAGTGATAAACAAACCTATGGACCCTACGTCCGTGCGAGTACAGGATCGAAATGGAATGATTGTTAGTTCGGCGCAAGGTTAGCTCGAATCCTTGAATAAGAGTCTCACAAATGATCCAATTCATCCTTGTTGAGGGTATAGTATTCGGTCCTCAGACTGTACAGGATCATGACCCTCGCACCGAATGAGGATCCCCTTTGTTGACGCAGAACGTGACTTCGAAGGGAAATGTTATGATGAGAAGGCGATGATGGTTAAGAATATAGAGTGAACCTTCAAGGAAATAACATTCATGTAGTGCATTCAAGGCGGTAATAATGGAGTTACTTAATCTATAACAATTTCTGTCGCTCGCGGTTGCAATTCCCAGGTTCGAAAGCGAATCCAGTCTTCGGTAGCACCACTCCACCCACCCTCCAGGTGTATCTCCTCGAACGAGACCGCACGCTCTCGCCGGCCTGAGGCGGTTCTCAGCAGTGCCACCTTATTGCCGCTGGGACCTCGTCTAAGCACGTGGAAGCTAAAACCTTTGGCGGTCCATGATGCGTAGACAGCGGCTGGGGTTCCTGTCGCTGCTGGCACCGTACTTACAAAGACGTCTGCCAGTTTGACCCGCGCATTGTTGATCTTAGCACTTGGATACTCGAATGGGTGCAGAACTTGGTTGAAGAATCCCGTCTCATCACGATAGATACGATTGGTCATGGATTCCTCTCTAGGGATAATTCTCGGCCTGAACCGTGCAAGTGAAGTTGGCTGGTTAGGGCGAGCTGCCACGCGGGGATGCCACCTACGGCGGCGCGGTACCAGGAGGATAGGGCGTTGGGCGGATTCGCTGCGCCTACCTTGTTGACTATCGATATAAAGCTCTAGTACTCCATTGTCAGAGGACTTGTGGCTCATTCCTGAATACAGGTTCGCCGTGTCACAAGAATCCGTGGGGTGATGAAAGTCATGTGCTGGTGATGGGCCCGCGGCCGCCTTGATTGATGAGGCATTGTCCCTAGAATGTTCAAGGTTGTGCCGCGGATTATTGGAAGGAGAGTATGCCTTGAGATCTGGGAACAATTTTCTTCCTCTCCCATTCTTCCATGCACCCGAGTATCCACGATACCATCGTCGATTTCTTTCTGGGTAGGGCTGTCACCTTGTTAGTTGAGCAAGTCTCCCATTGTGATCGCAGCTTCACTGACCTTCGCCAGCCGGCGACATGCTTTCTTGGCCGAAGAGCTCGAGGGTAGTATTGGAGATCGGGTTAAAGTACAATCGTGACTTCATAAAGTTCCCACGTGAAGTCCGCTGTCGGGGCGAGTTCGATGAGGTCGAATGGATCAAATTTGATGGCGTCCATTCACAAGTCATCCTCCGCCAATTGTACAAGGTCGTCATCTTCTTCCATATTAGGGTGTACGAACGGTCGTCCTCAGGAGTCCGAGCAGCTGGATGCCGTTGACGTCGGGTGCTGTGTTGTGACTGTGTGACACAGACAGGAGGGCAAGAGGTGGGAGGAGCGTTGAGAGGTCTTTTGAGCCATCATAAAGGAGGGGTAATCGAATTGAGTCGGATGGCTAGATGCGAAATTGGAATCGCAGCGGAGGTCATTTTACAACCAAACCTGTGCGCACGACTAGATGCACCATCAGTAGCAACAGTACGGAATCTTGAATCGTGACTGATCAGTACCGAAGCCAGAAGATCACCCAACTTACCCCAAGTTCTTGATCGACATCTCCACGACCTTTGATCCACGAGTCGAGAGGTCGTGACTCTGACGTTGTTTGTCAAAGACGTGACCTGAATTTCAAGAATGTCTGTCGCTGTCGCAAGAGTGCCAAGCGTGCTCCCGCTTAACTCTTTGGGGCTTAGCCCCGAGGGCTGAGACGTTGTGCAACACGTCGCATTTATTTCTTCGAGATACGGTTAGGGACCACTACAAGGGGAATTATACAAATTACGATCCATGGCGATGTTTTTTTACGGGTGGAAATGCATGACCATTCGCAGAGTCTGGTGAACATACATACTCTTCCGTGAAGAACCTGTCTACGAGTCTTGGGCCTGGATTTTTAGCTGGATTTTGCTGGTGGTGCTAGAACCACGAACCAACGCGATCGCACCGCAGCTTCGGAGCGTTCGGGAAATTGATCAAAGATCCACGACCACGATTTTCCCAGGCGCCGCCACTCCGTCAAGTTGTTATCCTCATCTACCGTCCAATGGCCGCGCTTCGTCGGCCGGGACAGCGTTTGATATTCGCTTAGGCAAAAGTCGCTGCTTATGTCTTGATCGGGTGACCATCTCTGTCTCCTCCTAGCCCGGTCTCGTCTCGGATCATCCATATTGCTAGCAGGTCGGGATATCGTGGCTGTGAGGAGCCAGCAACCGTCAGTCAGTGGCTTGAAAACGATATTGGCCAGGTTGTCTGGGTGGACACCGCATTCGACGGCCCAAGCCGCAGGTGAGTGGAAGAAGTCCTGTAGGTCCGCCGGACTGTCGATAACGGCGGTCATAAAGGCAGCATCAGTAGCTGTCACAGGTTGGACGCTCATAATTCTCAACCCATCATGGTGCTGCTCCTGCTTCTGCTCGCCGTGGCTATCCATGGGCTTGTCGATTTTTAACCGCGTGGCTGGACTTGGGGAGGGCTCGATTAAGGTAAAATCAGGTCCAGTCATACCCTCGTAGTCTGAATCCGCGTCACGATCAACGAGAGTCTGCTCACTGTCTGAACCGTGGGCGGAGTTATGGACCCCCGCTCCAGTAGAAGCTCCGAGCTCAAAGCCTGACTTGTGAAGCTGAACTTCCCTTCCGCGGGAACTCGAGGCAGAGTCTTCATCAAGCGTTCGATGAACGAGGGTCGGCGTTTTGTTGGTGACCACGTCCACACGCATTCGACGAGAAACCGAGGAGTCAAAATCAGCTTCACTCCTATGTCGTCGTTTTCGGCCACGTTTAACGCGCTCGTCAGGTGGCGGAGATACCGTCCGTCGTCTGGTTCCCTTCGGTGTTGCCATAACGTCTGCAGACTGAGCGGGGGGAAGATTCCGTTGTGTGGCCGATGAGGGATGACGAGTCGGAATCTCCACCGCGATCCGGGATTTGTGACGCGAGGATGGCGGGAAGCATTGCTGCGGAGACGATGCCGCTGTCGGCTTCGGCTGAGGGCAGTTTGACTCTACCGTGAGGTCAATGGCGTCAGAGTACGTCCGCAGGCCAGGAGTTTCGGAGCGGACCAAATTGACGCCGCTTGGTGACGAAATGCTAACGTTGCAGGTCTTAGCGCTCCGTGAAGGGAAGCTCTGGGCTTGACCATCAGAATGTTCATCCGACCCAGTCGTTTTGAAAAAATCCAAATCTGGCGGAACACCGGAAAAGAGACTTTCCAAATCGCCGTCGAGACTTTCACCCAGGCCGTTTTCATCAATCTGGGCGAGGGAGAAGTCGTCGTGGAGGGAAATATCTTCCAAAATCCGCCCGTCATCAGTATTGACGTCGTGCAGAGGGCTGCGGCATAGATGGTAGAGTGGAGCCTTCGAGGCCTGATCTAGTAAGCTTCGCGGCTCTAGAGTGATCTGTCAGCGCTTTCACTGTCGGTAAGATCAGAGTGGCCTAAAAATCGTTCGAGCTTACCAGAACGGCCTTCGTCGCATGTGTGAGAGTGTTCGTGCAGCCCAGTGTTTGGAACTGGTGTCACAGCCTGTGGCTCGACTTCTTGAATGCATTCTTGGCCCAAGGAGGTAACAAAGCTGGCTGGCACTGCACGAGCGTGCTGCTTAGAGCGTATCCGAGGTTTGGAAGGGTCCTCGAAGATGATGCTGTCCATGTTGAAAACGCACGCAGAGTATGGTGCACAGAGATATTGTCCTGAACGGATGGAAGACTGCCAAAGTTGATAAGGTCGTCGCAGGAGAAATTGGGATGGCTTGCGTGATATAGGCACGAGGACTGATTAGGAATCAGGAGTATTGGACAGTGTAAGGGGCTGTATTGCTCCCATGCGGACTGAGGAAGAGATTCCAAATCCCACGACTACTCTGGGAAGGATGGTACCCTTTCCGGACGGCCAAGTAGGAGAACTGAAATCTCACCCCTGTCGTAATGCTCTTGCAGGATCATCCCTGAAGGAGTCACAAATCGTGACATCGCCTCCATCAGATTTTCCTGGGCGGTGTACGCGTACCTTGACGGCGTGTTCACGGGTCCGACGGCTGCAAATTGCCCCGAACGCTTCGGCTAGATAGTACGCGGCCACACTCTCTTGAATCAACCGATCACCCACCGCCGAGGCGATCTGTCACACAGGCAAACTGCGGTGACAGAAAAGTATCGGGATCCCAGCATGCAAGGACGTAACTCACCATAGAGCGAGACGGTCACGCCGAGAGGCTGTACAACCCGACACCTGTGGGCATCTTCGGATCCTCGAATGATTGACATGATCATGAGTCTGGCCGAGCGCGGTTTCGTTGATATTTCCTAAACAGGCGAAGGTCATGTAGATCGAAACATGGCCAGGGTTGTCGTAGCCAGAGATTTGTGGGTAAAACTTGACGAATGGCGAGGTCGAAAAGGAAAATGGTCATCTGGCCCTCGTTGCAGCCTGACAACCACCGGCACGGAAGTCGCGATCACGCGTCCAATAGATCACTGTCGTTGTCACTGTCGTGGTTGGCTTTGCTGTTCCCTCGGTTTATTTAACTCTGCGGCTTCCGTAACTTGGCCTCCTACATATAGGCTGAAGCTGAAGTTGCTGAAACCGGAGACCGTACAGAAAGCCCGAATGTGCTCGGCGTGCTTTGGGTCGCGCCCTTGACATTAGATTGTGAGAGTTGTAGACACATGCGTCGAGTATGGAGTGATGGTGATCCACAATAGCTTCTTTCAGCCCGTCTAATTGGGAGTAGCTCCTGTCTGCCTGTGTCTGTAGAAACCGCGTAACCCTGGCCAGCTGGAAGATGGAGCGACGAAATCATTCCCTCAACCCCTGAGACCATGACCTCGTCCAGGGCGGGGCGAGACAGAAGTAGAGGCCAATCGAGCGACAGACCGTCCATGGAAGCAGGCTGATGCTTCCGAACTCTGAAGTCCTCAGGTCTCAGTGAGGTCAAGTGGAGAGTATTCGGAGGGGCCGCGACGGCCCTAATAGATCCTGGCCCGGTCGGGTGATATGGCCCGTTTGCGGAAGGGGGCAGGTCGTGGCGAAGGAAGACGAGGGTTACGGACGTCCCAATAGGCAACACACCATCACGCTCGCAGGCAAGTCCATGACTCTCAGCCACTGATTCAATTAGTGCCAGGATACAATGCAACCCCCACTGAGACTTCGAAAGTAAAATTTCTGGAGACATAGGACAGGAGAGGGCAGCCGCGGATGGAGCGTTGGTGGGAGGGTCAGTAGCCCTCATTGGAACGCATGATCTCTTCGCGGCCTTCCGTGAACAGGCCAGCACTGTGCGTAGGACCGAGCAGCGCTTTGTCGGCTCCAAGAAAGAATTGTCCTTGTTGAAATCGTTGATCGCGCAAAACAAGTTTCATCTTGACGCTCTCGAAACCCGGGACAACCCCCTTTCCAATTGGATTCACGAAGACCTCGAGAACCGAGGAGGTCGCTTCAGCTCGTTCCGATTGCAGAGAGCCCCGATTAGCGCTATCACGAGTCCTCGTACAAGACGTCTCGTCTACACGTCAAGAACCCTTGACCGGCTGAACGGTGGAGAGACGTAAGGCGACGCTCGTGCATGTAGACATCTTTAACCGAGGGGCTTTGCAGCCAGAGTAGAGCCAGTGAGATCCAACGCAGACATGGATGCGACCGGCAGACGTGCCTAACTTTCTCGCTGTGAAGGACAAGGGCGATTCGATCGTTGGGGGCCACTACGTGGCGAAGTGGTTCAGGGTCTGTCTCGGCGACCACCGTAGTGCGGTACGAGCATGGTAAGACCCTGGTCGCTGTCGGCTGACGCTTTCCTCTTCCGGGCGATGGAGGGTGAGGACGAGAGGGCCCGAGAGTCGAAGAGAAGAAGGCTCGACAAAACGGCGAGGGACGACGTTCTTTTATAGCGGGAGGGTCGACGGGGGTCGGAGGCAAAGCGGCGAGAGACCCGACCGGTCAGCACTAAACCGCAACCGGCCACGCCTTCCCCGAACGAGACGGACTTCGCGGGCGCCAAACCCGATCGAGGGTGTCAAAGCGGCGCCAAACCGCATCCGCGCCAGAGCGAGTCCCTCGCACCGCGACACAGATTATTTTAAAAATATATAGCGATTTTTTAAGCATTATTATATTATTATATTCGCGTTTAGAAAGGTTATTTTAACGTGTAAAAGTTTATTATTATAAAGGATTAATTAGAAGTGTTACTTCTTATGTTAAAAGTTAATAAGGAATTATTAATATATTATTTTTCTTTAGATATAGAGAATAATATAGAGTTAAAAGAGAAAAATTATTACTTAATAGAGAAAGAGAAAACTAAGAGAATTACTAAGTTTAAACTTATACTAAATCACTATATCTTTAATTTCTATATTATATTAATTTAGTATTAAATTATATATATATATAATAGTGCTATTATGTTATTTATTTATATATAAATAATTATTATTTAAGGTTAAGATAAAATAAAGACTATTATATTTTAGCCTAAGATATAAGTTACTAAATTACTAAGTAAGTTAATTTATTACTATTAATTAATTTTACTTTAAGATATTTATAATATTAAAGAATATTAAGAGCTTTAAGATATTAAGTAGTTACTTAAGTAACTATATAAAATATAAATCACTAATAATTCTTATGATTTTATTAGTGTTATAGATAATTAATAATTATATATAATAAAGGTTAAAGGCGCTATAATCTTTAAAGTATTAATTATTTAGGATAAGCGTAATTAAAATCTTATATATAATAATATATAATATAGTATTTAAGATTTAGTTAAAGAAATTATTATAATATTATAGAAGACTAAATAAATCTTCTATAATAAGCTATACTTTAGCTTATTTAATATTCTTATATTTTATATTATTAAATTATAAAATAACTAGTCTAATAACTAATTTAAATATAGTTTTATTAAGGAAGTTTAGAATACTATTCACTTTAAAGGCTATAAGATATAGCTAATAAAGTATATTATATAAGATTAAAATCACTTAAATATTATCTTTTATATTAAGTAATATAAGTATAATAAGATTACTATATAACTAATTTAGTTAAAGTTCACTAAAGAGTATAAACTAGTGAATAAGGAATTTAAGAAGGCTCTCTTAGTAGAGTTATATAAAGGCTTTAGTTAACTAATATAGTGAGTTAAGTTCTTAGAAATTTATTAGTGAAACTTAGGTTTAGCGCTTTATAATTTTTAACTATTATTTAAATTTCTTTTATTTATCTTATATTATATTTCGCTTTATATAGGGTATTATAAGATATATAGTCTTAATAGGTAAAAAGTATAAGAGGCGAAGTCACTAAGAGCGTAATACTTAAGCGAGTATAAAAGCGAAGTAATTATAATTAAAATATATAGATATAATTATGAATAAAGTTAACTACGTAATAAAGCTATATAATGACTATTATTTATATATATATCTTTATACTTAGTGGTGCTTAGTATTGTTTAGTGTTACTTAGCCTAATCACTACTAAGTATAACTAAGTGTAGCTAATCGTCTTTAGTCACGTGATAACTTCTAACTTTAGTTATCCTAAGCTTTTCTCAGTATTTCTTTCTTATAAGGTTAATAGCTATTATTATAACTTTATCTATAGCCTATAGATTAGGCCTATTTATAATATCTTAATATACTATAAATCCTAAATATATATATATATATCTTATTTCTCTATTTAGTTTATTTTTTCTAAGTTTACTTAGTTACTTATTTAGTATCTTACTCTTATCTAACTATTCTATATATCACTATTAAAGAAGTGTAATATTCCTAAAGTTATAAGTAACTATCTATTTAACTAAGGGATTAAGATATAGTCTAAAGATTATATATTTACTATACTATCTCACTAAAGTAAGAGAAGTATTAAATAGGCTCTCACCATTTAGAAATAGTATTAAATTATAGTAATTATTACTATTAAGTACTTTAGTAATCTTAAGTTTAAAGGTAATATTAATATTACTAGAGATAAAGATAATAATGTGAATAAAAATATATATACTAATGGCATTTCACTCTTAATATTATTTTATGCTTAGACTATATATATTAATATTATTAGTAACTAACTCTATAATAATTACACTATTAACTTTATTAAACTCTTAATAGACACTAAAGTCTAGGTATATTCATAAATTAGGGTTAGGGTTAGGGTTAGGGTTAGGGTTAGGGTTAGGGTTAGGGTTAGGGTTAGGGTTAGGGTTAGGGTTAGGGTTAGGGTTAGGGTTAGGGTTAG